GTGCCCTTGCTGCGGGGGGAGCCTGCCGGAGCTCTTTGACCGCGGATGATCCGCGCCGCCGCGGCTCTGCTCCCCGGCCCGGCCCCGGCCCGGCTCTGGCCCGGGCGCTCAGCACTGGACAGCTCCCGCGGCGGCGGCGCGCTCTGACGGGCTTCTCTGTTCCAGGATCCTGCTGACCGTGGTGGTGATCTTCAGGATCCTCATCGTGGCCATTGTAGGGGAGACGGTGTACGATGACGAGCAAACCATGTTCGTGTGTAACACGCTGCAGCCAGGCTGCAACCAGGCTTGTTACGATCAGGCTTTCCCCATCTCCCACATAAGGTACTGGGTGTTCCAGATCATCATGGTGTGCACTCCCAGCCTCTGCTTCATAACGTACTCTGTTCACCAGTCTGCTAAGCAGAGGGAGCGGAGGTACTCCACTGTCTTCCTCACCTTGGAGAGGGACCAGGACTCAATGAAGCGGGAGGACAGTAAGAAAATCAAGAACACCATTGTCAATGGGGTGCTACAGAACACCGAGAACTCCACCAAAGAGGCAGAGCCAGACTGCTTAGAAGTGAAGGAAATCCCCAACCCTGCTATCAGAACTACAAAATCAAAGATGAGGAGGCAAGAAGGCATTTCTCGATTTTATATCATCCAAGTGGTCTTTCGAAATGCCCTAGAGATTGGATTCTTAGTGGGGCAGTATTTTCTGTATGGATTCAATGTCCCTTCCATGTACGAATGCGACAGATACCCTTGCATTAAAGAAGTAGAGTGCTATGTCTCTAGACCCACTGAGAAGACTGTATTTTTGGTATTCATGTTTGCTGTCAGTGGCATTTGTGTGGTGCTCAATTTGGCAGAACTGAACCACTTGGGCTGGAGAAAGATCAAAATGGCAGTGAGAGGAGTACAGGCAAAAAGGAAATCCATATACGAAATCAGAAATAAGGACCTGCCAAGAATGAGCATGCCTAACTTTGGCAGGACTCAGTCAAGTGACTCAGCTTATGTGTGAGGCTGTGACAGAACTGAAACACTGTGCCAGGTGGAACAGACCCAGACACCATTAGAGAAAGGTACATTGCTTAGGCAAGCATTTTATCAAACCACCAAGAAAGCCATTAAGGTATTGGATCTGCACTTACCGAACTAGATACAAAATGCAGTGCTATGTAAAAGACTGAAAAAAACACCTAAAAACCATGCTTGATCTAGCCTTACAGCACAGCTACTGTTATTATTCTTTTTCTTTCTAATGATTGGTTGTTATCTTTCGGTGGAGCAGCTTTTTGGTCATCATTAGGATGAGAGACTTCAGTTCGGACTGTCTGGCTAATTGTTGTAAATGTGTAGAATGTTCTTATTAAAAACCCGCAAGGATACTCTATATGGGGTGGGGTGGGGTGGGGAAACTGTTGCAATGTGCAAATGTAAGCATGTTCTAAAAGGAGGGTAATTGCACTGTTAGGAACCTGACCATGGCTTGATCAGGACATCCGTGCGCACCGATTTCACAGATGTCTGGTATTATTTTCTTTGTCTGGATCACAGCGTTCACTCCTGGTGTGTATTACTAGCTACTTTTTAACATAGTTTGTACAACAATTAGTAATGCTAAACAATAAATGCAGAATATAATTTTGCCATTTTTTGTTTGCCTATCCACACACAGACACCAGAGACCTTAATCATCTTACACTAGTTGTGACCTACAAAATATGTCTGTACATTTCAGTTTATTCCCTAATACGTGCATAAATAAGATGGAGCTGGTTCATGTCAGAGAAGTTATGAATTACCTATGATGACACACATACCAAAGGAACAGAGTTAATTGCTTTTAACTGTGAATATATCACCTTCTCTCTGCTCTTATTTATATAAGTGCCATACTTGAAACATCTAACTCTGTACTTAGTCGAAAGGTTGTCTCGGGATACCAGCTGGAATAAAGCGATTTTATACTCTCCTTTGTTTATTTTATGCTATTTGTTCAGTCATTGCAATGGTGTAAAAAGCAGCTAAAATCTCTATTGATAAATAAAGTATTTGCCTTTTTTTTTGTAAGCCAGAGAGGTTTGCTCTTCTTTGTTACTGTATATTACTACCGAAACATAAAAGGTCAAAATAATTGACTTGCAATAACCATTCTTCAGGGCTCAAGGCATCTTGCTGATATCCTGCATGGGAAAACAGGACTATCTGTGATGCCTGTATTCCTCCTTAAGCAAGCTTTCTTCCTCTCTAAAGTCTGATCCAAAACCCACTGATACCAACAGCTTGCTTTCTGCTGATGCTAAGGACAGCGTCGTTGGCTGCCAAGGTCACTCTGGGAATAGCCAGAGTACATTTACCTATAACTCAAACAAATGCAGCTCTTCCTCGGAGAATCCAAACAAGAACCACAGCTGGTTCAAAAAATCTGCTGTCTATGTCCCACCAGTTTAATAATGCACCACTAAGGTGGACACAAACTAATCTCTATTAATAGTGGCCATTTTAACATAGGACATTAAGTTTTACTTAATGACCTTTTTTAATTACAGCTGCAGAAAATATTGCAATGGCAACAGTAGGAGTTGGATCAGGACTCAAAAACAATAAAAGTGCTAAGTAAATGGTATCTTAAAAAAAAAAAAAAGGAGGGGGACAAAATGGTGCTAGAAAATTTTGGGGATATTTTATAATATGACAAGGAGCCAGGGACTCAGATTTGCAAATGGGATTTTCATTGTATTTTATTTTGGTCAGACAATAGATTTTACAGTATCTTTGCCTGAAGACCCTGCACACAAATCTTTTCCTCTTGGCTTACTGTGGATATGTTAACATTTCATTCTTGCCATTTGCCAGCATTGTCACTTACAAAAATGTTGATTACTGCTTGCATAATGTAATATCACTTTCATCTGTGGATTTTTTCCTTCCACTCTGAAAGATAAAAAGGCTTTGAGTTTTGTCATATTTTTAAGTATGTTAAAATCATTTTTGTAGGGAATTTTTTTAAAATAATAGTGTTTCCAATTTCGTTATAAAAACCCACAAAAATGGATTTCTCAATGGTTCTTTGTGATATAAAGGCACACTGATACTGCTAGTTGACTGCACTGTGGAAAACTGCATGTTATTTTTAGAAGTACAACATGGCAGCTAAAATCTCCATCTGCAATACAACAACCTTCTAGAGATTATTATTTGACACGTAAATCCAAGTCTGATTTTTATTTTGCAGAGTCCTGGGATGTTTTATGAAATCTCTTTCTGAGCAGAATTTGAAGGGGAAAATGCTGTTTGACAGTAATAAGCATTGTTTTAATGCTGAAGAAATGGGAGATTGTGTGCAAAGGGCTCGATCTAATGCTAATTAAAGTTGGAGGAAAAAACTCCTACTGACTTCACTGGGCTTTGGATCCGGTTCAGCATAATTTCCTGTTATGCAGAAGCCCTAATGTGAGTTATTTCCAGTAGCTTCAGAGCAGTATTTAGTCAAAACTAGTGAAGGTGCTTGTCTTGATAGCTATAAGTTATTACCATTACCTTAAAATCCTGTAGATAAGATGAAGAAATGGTCTATTTATAAAAGTCAATTTCAGTGATTCTGTTCATTCTGTTTCTTGCAGTTGTGCATTTTATATTTCAGTAAGTTAGAAGCATTCAGAATTTTGAAGGACAAATACATAAGGAAGTCCAAATGTTAATTTATGCAGCAGGATCACTGATAACCTAGGCAAAGACTCAGATTTTGATCAATGGAAATGCAATCCTCATTATTTTCATTGAACAGAATATGGCTTTTCTTATTTCAGGAAGGAAGTGAAATGGTGTCAAGAGAGCAGTTGATTTAGTCATCCTTTCCAATTATTATCTTTCATTTCTAACTTGTCATGAACAAGAGAAACAGTGTGCTCTTTTTTTTGTCAGTGTATTATGTCTGTCATATGATTAATGCTAATGGATTGTTTGCATGAGAGCAGACTATTCATTTACAGAATAAATGCTTAAAAATTATCACAGCAATGGAAAAGTGTGTTAACTGAACAGAACTGAGTGATCACGAAGCTGGATGGAACATTACTGCCTCGCCAAAATCAATTAGAGTTTTACCACTGACACCTACAGAAGAACCAGACATTAGCTATGAACATTCAGTTTACATTTGTTTCATTCATTGCATGTCCTGTTTTGTACTGGTAGTCAACCGTGTATCTTATGATAAATGCAAACAGAAAAATTATGATCATTAAGCTTTTATGGAGCCCTACAATAGAATTTACTGCAAATTTGGTTCTGGGGAACTTTAATATTATCTCATGTAAAATAATTATGATAATTTATAGGTAGCTCTTATCTTGTGCTTTCCAAACTAGTGTGAGTTTTAAGAATAATTTACATATTGTTTTTGAACCGTTTTACAAAAGCTATATAAGTTGCAATGATATACTGTAAAAAGATTTTAAAATATTTATCAATTGCTTTTCATGATGAATACTGTATTTTGCATGGGAAAGTTGAATTGATGGTTCTTATAATTAGCTCAGCTTTAAGACCATTGATTTTGAAGAAATATAAAGCCTTTTGTGTTTATTAAAGAAAATCTGCAGTATAAGCAGATCAGGAGAGATGAAGAAACCAAGGAAGTGGTGAGATTGATTTTGAGTTGTTTTGTGCTGAAGAAATCAGAAAGGCTCAGAGACTCCAGAGAGGGTTCCACTCCTGTCCTGCCTTATACCTAACAGGTAGGACAGAGCTGTTGACAGGTAGAACCATGGGGAAAGAAGTAAGTGAAATGTTTAGGATAAATGTGAGGAAGATTTTTTCATCCAAAGCTATAGTCATATTTTGGTAGGACAAGAGGATCCATAAGATGGACATTGTCCTTGCATCCTTCCCTTCCACCTTATTCTTTCCACAAAACCTCTTAGAGGCTTTGTTTGGTCTGAAAATATAGAAATGGGATTAAAAAATGGAGAGACATAGAGGAAAGAAAAGACATAGTTTTCTTCATATAGAGTCTAATCTTTTTCCTTCATCAGTGATGAGATTTTGTCTTTTGTGAAAGCAAGTTGATTCCCAGCTGAGGAGAAACTCAGTTCCATTATTTTCTGATATGAAGAGGGGAGATCATCTTATTTCTGAACTGTCCATCCATTCCTCAAAATTTTGGTGTACTTTTTCCAGATGTTATATTTTACTGTAAGCTTTACAAGGTTAGTATCAACTAGTAAGCCTAAAGTCAAATTCTAAACCTAGTATCCTCCACATTGAAACACTGTGAAGAAAAAATTCATTAGGAAGTGCTTCATATTCTCTCTGTGCATTGCAAGAGTCAGCCAGGAGCATAAAGTAAGCGTAAAGTAAGTAAAGTCAGACAATATGGAAAATTCCATAGTAATATATCAAGAGTAAGTAACACTCATACATATTTATTACTCTCTCTATAAATGTATATAAAAACACAAGAAAAATGTAACCGTAGAGCCATATACAAAATAACACATAAAAATAATATTTTATGAAAATATTTGCAAGACTGCTAAAGGAATTTTATCTAAATTACATTGGCATGCTACAGATTACCTCAGAGGTGGATACAGAACATCCCGCATCCAAAGAGACTGTTAAAATGACATACTTGTAATCTGTGCAAGTTCTCTGCAATGCTTTGGTTGGACATTTGGCATGCAAAGACCCTTGAGTCTTGACATGAAAAGACCCTTAATTATTTTACATGAGTTAAGTCCATAAGGACCCTTTTCCTGTGGCATTCTGTGGCCACGGGCTACACCAATTGCTGTAGCAAATCCAGCTGACTAGCCGTGTGTCTAAACTGCAGCCAAAGGCAGACCTGCAGTTCATAGCACTAAAATATATCATTTTTTTTTCTAATGATGACAGAAGTACAGGATGAATCAGATCTCCAGCTCATGGAAATGCACATATACACTTACTCTCTCTGATTTCCCCTCAGTGTCTCCCATTCAACAAAATTTGAAAGTAAATCTGTTTTCCAGTATGTGGTTTGTCTGGGAAGAAAATTATCTTATAATAATTATCAATATAATAGATAATATATTCTAAATCAATTAAGAAATTTGGGACTTATGGTCTTTCTATTAAAGCAGAATTTTGCTGCATCTGATTTGTCTATAAATACACATTGTGGTACATAGATAAAAATAACTATGATTTGAAATATTTTCTGAGGTGTCTTGTGCAATCATGATCATTTTTTTTCAACTTTTGTCACCAAAGACAGGTGGAAATGGGCTGGTTGAAATTGAACCTGTCCCCGTTTTTGAAAAAATATCATTAATTGTTAACACTAGTTTAAATCTGCTAATAAAATTTTTCTGGAAGAGTGCTAAAGCAAAATGTTCTT